ACGCCTCGGATTTACAACAGGCTCTGACCATTATTCATACCTAAATAATGTACATTAGAGCTGATTTCTTCTATTCTATTTATTTTAATATACCAGTTATTTTTTATATAGCTGGACTCGAGTACTGGAGGGGTTTGGGATATTGGCAGTTTGGAGGGATATGTTATATATCTTTATATATGCTTCTAAACTGTTGCATCTGGGCACCTCTGCAAAAAACAGTGATTATGTATGAGTGAGGTGAAAGTGTTGAATGATAATGAAAGAATTTTCTTTTTGGAGATTTCCTTTTTGGGTCACCCTGCCTCAGTGGGAGACGGCCGACTTGTTGAAAAAAAAAAAAAGTACTGTATAAACATTTAAAAATATACCAGAAACATTATAATGGTGCAAAGAAACAAGAGCATGTGTAAATAGTCTTTAATATGATCCAGCTTCCTCTTAACCATGTTGTGATGGCTATGTGAGCCAACATACTACCAGTACCAATAGCCTGGTGGAACAGGTAATCAACAGGGAATTCTGACCCTAGACCAGGTTCTGAGGGTGGAAAAATACTTCAAAACTGGAGAGAGAAAAAAAAAAAAAAAAAAAAAAAAAAAAAAAACCAGTCTGAAGTATGTATTCAATTCCTAAGACAGTTTTATCATTACTAGATTCCAGAAATGGAAGAGGGGTTGACCATCTTGTCCAGACTGTTAGTCAGAGATGGCTGACACAAACTCACTACCATTATAATATGCTCCTCACTGCGATGAATTCATTTAACAACATGGTCTCAGGAAAGGAACTCCGTCGTTAAGTAAGGAGAGGCTGTATGTGTGTGTTACACTGGAGTGACAAAATAATGTACAGTATACAGTCTGTGGAAAATGTTATAACACTGGCTGCAGGACAAACTTTTGATCAATGAAACATGGCAATAGATGGTTGAAGGCTCAACTCCTGTACACCAACTGCAAGTGGAACCATACATCTCCAAGGATGGCCTCATCTGCCTTTGAGTCAAATTATGCACTATGTTCAATGAAGCTCAGGTGATGGCATGTGACTGATAAGAATGTTAGAAGGAACCAAGACAATGTCTCCTTCACTTTTTTTAATACATCAGTTATCTCCTACTAATGCAGAGTGACCCAAAAAAGCAGCAAAGTTTTTCTTTTTACATTTAATAATTTATACAGAAGGGGTTACTCATCCCTTGCTCCTGGCTTTTTAGTCTTCTCCACTTCCCCATGGTGGTATTATTCATCCAATAAGCTAACATTCGAGCTTCAATCAACATAATGCAGAGTTCACTGTTAAAGCTGCATGGTGTCACTTGCTACCAGTGTAAGAGCTGTTCCCAAGATTACTAGAAAGCTCAGACTTCAACCATCTGTTTCCATATGCTTCAATGATCAAAAGTCAGTCCAGCAGCAGGCTTCATAACTTTCCAGGCAGGCAGACAGTATGTGCCGTCTTGGAAAAAAAGCAATTGGTCAGACTTGAGTTTTGGAAGCATCAAAGTTTACTTTCTACACCATGAAAGTGGGGTTGTGAAGTTGTAGTTCATGGTGTCAACAATGGATCACAACGAATGTTGTTCTGGAAAAACAGTTAGGTGACAGGAAGTGTTTTCTACTTAGTTCCCCACCAGGCCTAAAGGAAAAGGGCCAAAGACATCAAATAAAAATTATGAATTTGCATGCTATACTCATAACATAGTGAATAGAGTTTGTGAATTTAATCTACAAGTGTCATGAAGCAATTGGAGATATAAGATTTGATAAACTCTAAAATGTAAAATAAATTGCATTAATAATATTAATTTAATGCCCTTTAACTTTAACCCTTTGAGGGTCCGTCCCATAGTTCTACGGCTTTGAAGCCAGGGTCCAAGCTGTAGTTTTATGCCATGAGCTCGGCTCACTCAGATAAGCTGTGAGCGGTAAATCAGGGCCTAGATATGAGAGATGCATCTGTGTGATAAGTGTACACTATATAAGACAAATCCTGCAGCATGCAGTGCATAAGAGAAAAAAAAGATATATTACAGAAATAGAGATGATTTTGATTGGTTTTAGTACTAAAAATGGCTTGAAACTGAGCTCAAAGTAGCAGAAATGTTTGACTTTTGCTAATGTTCAAGAGTAAACAAATGAAGTCATGCATCCAATACTTATCAGCTGGTGCGTCTAACGTGCATTCACGAATGCGCAGATATTGTTTATACAATTATTACAATGTTGCATAACTAAATCTTCTATTTTTCAGTGTGAATAAAAATTTATTATGTGAATAAAAAATCAAAGTTGAATTCATTTGTAAAGCCTGGAAACATAACTAATAAAAAGAGGAAATGTTACTTTAGTTCCAGGAATGCCTGCATTGTTTATTCTAGACCCTATTTTGAAAATGGAATACAGTGGACCCCCGCATACCGCATGCATCGCATACCGTACAATCCGCATACCGCTCGCTTTTTTCGCAAAAATTTTGCCTCGCATACCGCCCAAAAACCCGCTCACCGCTCTTCGTCCGAGACGCGTCCAATGTGCGGCCTGAGCCACGCTCACATGTTCCGCCGGTGGCATTGTTTACCAGCCAGCCTCCGCGGTAACATCCAAGCATACAATCAGAACATTTCGTATTATTACAGTGTTTTTGGTGATTTTTTCTGGAAAATAAGTGACCATGGGCCCCAAGAAAGCTTCTAGTGCCAACCCTACAGCAATAAGGGTGAGAATTACTATAGAGATGAAGAAAAAGATCATTGATAAGTATGAAAGTGGAGTGCGTGTCTCCGAGCTGGCCAGGTTGTATAATAAACCCCAATCAACCATCTCTACTATTGGTGGTACAGCTGCTGCTGCTGTTGTACCACCGTCAGTTGCTGCTGCACTGTCAGCTGCTGCTGCTGTTGTACCACTGTCAGCTGCTGCTGCTGCTGCTGTAGTACCGTCTGCTGCTGCTGTAGCATCGTCTGCTGCTGCTGTAGCATCGTCTGCTGCTGCTGTAGCATCGTCTGCTGCTGCTTGTAGCATCGTCTGCTGCTGCTGTAGCATCGTCTGCTGCTGCTGTAGCATCGTCTGCTGCTGCTGTAGCATCGTCTGCTGCTGCTGTAGCATCGTCTGCTGCTGCTGTAGCATCGTCTGCTGCTGCTGTAGCATCGTCTGCTGCTGCTGTAGCATCGTCTGTGCTGCTGTAGCATCGTCTGTTGCTGCTGTAGCATCGTCTGTTGCTGCTGTAGCATCGTCTGTTGCTGCTGTACCACCGTCAGCTGCTGCTGCTGCTGCAGCACCGTTGTTGGTGTGGCTTATTGAGAATACCAAGAAACAATTAACCCCAGAGGATTTGCCACCCAGGATAACCCAAAAAAGTCAGTGTCATCGAAGACTGTAACTTATTTCCATTGGGGTCCTTAATCTTGTCTCCCAGGATGCAACCCACACCAGTCGACTAACACCCAGGTGAACAGGGAAAAATGCCTGGAACTAGTGCTCATATTGGTGAATTTAAAGCCAGCAAAGGTTGGTTTGAGAGATTTAAGAATCGTAGTGGCATACACAGGGTGATAAGGCCTGTTCTGGAAGAAAATGCCAAACAGGACCTACAGTACTCAGGAGGAAAAGGCACTCCCAGGACACAGTGTCTCATCAGTCATTGCTGCATCTTCAATAAAGGTAAGTGTCATTTATTCTTCATTTAGTAGAGTAGTACATGCACAATATATATTGTGCATGTACTACTCTACTATTGTGCATGTATCCTTCTCTTTGTGTGTAGGAAAATGTATATTTCATGTGGTAAAAAATTTTTTTTCGTACTTTTGGGTGTCTTGCACGGATTAATTTGATTTCCATTATTTCTTATGGGGAAAATTCATTCGCATACCGAACATTTCGCATAACAATCAGCCCTCTTGCACGGATTAAAGTCGCTATGCGGGGGTCCACTGTATTTTGAACTGTGTGAAACTGGCCAAATTACCAATTTCCGATCACTTTACTGGTTAGTTGATTGGGTGATTTCTTGTGCTCAATTGATAAACAGAAGTAATACTAGCCAACTAGCTAAGAATTTGGTCAACCGAAATAACGTAATTGGCCTAAAATGGGAGTCGAAGTGGGAAAATCACTGATGCGTAAATATCACTGAGGCAACAAAATTCACGACAGTGTAATTCCGTCAATTTTACATGAAATTTCGTACTTTTTGTTTTATTACCTTCAGAAAAAGATTCTCTACCATTTCATAAGAAAAAAAAAACATTTTTTTTGCTTGGACCCTGTAGACAAGTTTCAGATCAGGGGTCTGGACCCTAAAAGGGTTAAAATTTGCGAAAAGAACAGTCAAGAGAGGTTCCTTGATACCAGTGAAGAGGTTCTCGATGCAGGGAACTGGACCTGTCCTCCTCTTCCTTGGGTTAAATCTAACTGCCTCCCATTATTCCAGGCACTACATGACCCCTATTGGTTTAGTGCTTTTTTGTAAATATAATAATCTTAAAAAACTCATTTTAATATAAGATACACTTAATTTGGTACATATACAGTAAATTATACTCATTATTATTCTTCTTTCTTTCAACACACCGGCCGTATCCCACCGAGGCGGGGTGGCCCAAAATGAAAAATGAAAGTTTCTCCTTTTACATTTAGTAATATATACAGGAGAAGGGGTTACTAGCCCCTTGCTCCTGGCATTTTAGTCGCCTCTTACGACACGCATGGCTTACGGAGGAAGAATTCTGTTCCACTTCCCCATGGAGAATTATTATTATTACTATAATATTCATGAGGAAGTGCTAAACCAGTTATGATCATACAGCACCTTAATTATGACCAATAATTTTTCAAAAGAGCAAGGGGCTAGTAACCCCTTCTCCGGTATACATTACTAAAGTTAAAAAAAAGAAACTTGTTTTTCTTTTTTGGGGCACCCTGCTTCAGTGGGATGTGGCAGATATGTTAAAAAGAATTTTTCAAAACTCACAATAATCGTCAGCCACCCCATACCTGTGGACAATCCCATTCTTCATAAATTCGCTCATCTGGGTTATCAGAGCTGCGTGGAGTTACTGCCTCAACCCATCGTGTTCTGTCTGATTCCATGGGACAAGAAACAACCTAAAAGAAACAATCTGAATAATTAATATGTTACATTAGAAAAAAAGCATAATAATGTTAACCCACATTTTAATTACAGAGGGAATAATTAACTCTTTAGGTAGTATTGCCTCTGTCTTACCATCTGAAATATTAAACAGAAATCTTAAGTTTGCATTACTGTCTCCTCCATTTTACAGAACCCTAATTATTTACATTCCCAGTGGGGAATGTAAGAATGAAGGTCCTATTTAAATCTGAAGCAGAAGGTTGCCAGGGTTGTCCTAGAAATGGTTGGATGGAGGGGTAAAAGCGACAGTGTTAGGGGCTTGAGCATCCAGCAAACTTGTACGAGTGTTAGACAGAAGTGGTTCTTAACCCTTTGACTGTCGCAAGCCCCTTTCTGAAACTGTCATTCTATGTTGCAAAATTTTTGAAAAAAAAAAAATTATTTTTTCTTATGAAATGATAGAGAATCTTTTCCCAATGGTAATGACACCAAAAGTACAAAATTCGGTCGAAAACTCATGGAATTACGCTCCCTCAAAGTTAGCAGTCTTGGCGACACATATGCATCAGTGATTTTGCCGACTTTGAGCCCTGTTTTTGGCCAATTCCGTTACTCCAGTTGACCAAACTCAGCTATTTTTTTAGAACTCCATTTTTTCTATCAGTTGAGTACAAGAAACCACCCATTTACCGATTTCATCTACCCAATAAAGTGGTCAGAAATTGGCAATTTGGCCAATTTCACGCAAATTAAAAAAGATGCCAATTTCAAAATAGGGTCCAGAATAAACAATGTAGACATTCTTGGCACTAAAATAACATATCCTCTGTTCATTAGTCATGTCTCTAGGTCCCTCTTATATTACTATTGCTTTTTGATTTTTTATTCATACAAAAAAATACAAAATTTACTGTTATGCAGGCTACTGCATTATTGTAAAAATGGTATAAATAATACCAGTGCACTAGTGAAAGAATATCAGACTCCGCAGTTCACATGTATTGGACGTGTGGTGTGATCTGCTTACTACTGAACATTGGTAAAAATCGAACATTTCCACTACTTTGAGCTCAATTTCAAGGTCATTTTCATTGTGAGACTAATGAAAATCATCTCTATTTCTGTAATGTGTTTTCCATTTTATCACGCGAGGCCATGAAAACAAGAATACAATGATAAATACAGTGGACCCCCGCATAGCGAACGCCTTGCATAGCGAACAATCCGCATAGCGAACGCTTTGTTCGCTGAAATTTTGCCCCGCATAGTAGACAAAAACCCGCTCAGCGAACTTCGTCCGAGACGCGTCCAATGTGGGCCCTCAGCCAGCCTCACATGTGCCGCCCGTCCGTCCCATTGTTTACCAGCTAGCCTCCGCGGTAACATTCAAGCATACACTCGGAATATTTCGTATTATTACAGTGTTTTCGGTGCTGTTTCTGGAAAATAAGTGACCATGGGCCCCAAGAAAGCTTCTAGTGCCAACCCTGTGGTAAAAAGGGTGAGAATTAGTATGGAAATTAAGAAAGATTTTGAAGGGTTTGGGGCTAACCCTGAGAAGCCTATGCCAGTTGTGGAATCCATTGTGCCTACTTCAAAAATTAAGGAAATGTGTGCACAGTGGGTTGAACTGCAAACCTTTATGGATGAAAATCACCCTGACACAGCTGTTGCAAGCCGTGCTGGTGACTATTTCAATGACAATGTTATGGCCCATTTTAGGAAAGTCTTGAAGGAACGGGAGGTACAGAGCTCTATGGACAGATTTGTTGTGCGACAGAGGTCCAGTGACTCTCAAGCTGGTCCTAGTGGCATTAAAAGAAGAAGGGAAGTAACCCCAGAAAAGGACTTGCTACCTCAAGTCCTAATGGAAGGGGATTCCCCTTCTAAACAGTAAGAAGATAATGCTCTCCCCTCCTCCCATCCCATCAATCATCACCAGATCTTCAATAAAAGTAAGTGTCATGTAATTGTGCATGCCTTTTTCAGTTTGTGTGTACTAAAATTAACATTTTTTTGTGGTAAAAAAATTTTTTTTTCATACTTTTGGGTGTCTTGCACGGATTAATTTTATTTCCATTATTTCTTATGGGGAAAATTAATTCGCATAGCGAACATTTCGCATAACGACCAGCCCTCTTGCACGGATTAAGTTCGCTATGCGGGGGTCCACTGTACTATACAAAAATACACCTCAAAGTCGGCATTTTAATCCAAAAACAAAGTCAGTTTTTTTTCTCATTAAGCACTGCGTGTTGCAGGATTTTTATTATGTGGTGCACACTGACCACACAGGCCCATTCTCTCACATGTGGGTCTACCAGCTTTCTCCTGCTTGATTTGAAGCCGCTAGAATTTATGCGTATTAATACGTCTGAAACACTGGTTCATAAGACATATATATATATACAACCAAAACAGTCAAAGGGTTAAAGAACATGCTGCTGAAATGTGAGCAATTTAACTTTTTATGAATCAGGGAAACCAGTTAGCTGGGCTTGAATCTTGGGGGTGGACAGGGTGATAACGCCTGCACTCTGAGGGTGGTGTAAGGATATTCCAGTCGGAGGGTATCTGATTGCGATTTGAGCACACTTCTGGAAAAATAGCAATTCAATGAACGATGATGAATGTGCATTCTTCTTTGGGTCCCCCTACCTTGGTGGGAAAGAGCTGTCAAGAAAAAAAAAATCTGTTGTACATGGAAGTGCACCTAGAGTGATGCATAAGCTAGGTCATCGTCTTCTTTCAAGAAACCGGCCATATCCCACCAAGGCAGGGCGGCCCAAAAAGAAAAACGAAAGTTTCTCTTTTTAACCCTTTCAGGGTCCAGAGGCCAAATTTCGAAGTGTGCACCAGGGTCCAAGAATTTTCAAAAAATAATTTGGTTATTTTTTCATATGAAATGGTAGAGAATCTTTTTCTGGAGGTAATAAAACAAAAAAGTACGAAATTTGATGGAAAACTGACAAAATTATGCTCTCGCAAATTTTGAAGTGTCGGTGATATTTACGCATCAGCGATTTTGCAGACTTTGACTCCCATTTTTGGCCAATTACAGCATTTCAGTCAACCAAATTCTTAGCTATTTCACTAGTATTACAGTACTTTTATTCTATCGATTGAACACAAGAAATCGCCATGCCAACTGTTTACACAAAATAAAGTGACCGGAAATTGGTAATTTGGCCAATTTAATGAAAGTTCAAAATATTCGAATTTCAAAATAGGGTCCAGAATAAACAATGCAGGCATTCCTGGCACTAAACTAACATTTCCTCTGTTCATTAGTTACATTTTCAGGATTTACAAAAGAATTCCATTTTGAATTTTTATTCAAACCAAAAAATAGAAGATTTACTGTTATGCAATACTGTAATAATTGTATAAATAATATCACCACATTTGTGAATGTATATTAGACTCACCAGCTGTCATGTATTAGACTTGTGAGGTCATTTGTTTGCTCTTGAACATCGGCAAAAATTTAACATTTCTGCTATTTTGAGCTCAGTTTCAAGCCATTTCCAGTATGAAAACCAATCAAAATCATCTCTATTTCTGTAGTATATCTTCCATTCTATCAGTTGAGACCAGGAAATTGCAAATACAACTATAAAAAACATACGAAAAAACACTGCAATGTCGCTGTTTTAATTGAAAATTATGGTCGTTTTTTTCTTTCGTTATGCACTGTGTGCTGCAGGATTTGATTTATGTGGTGCACACATACCACAGAGATGTATTCTCTCATATCTAGGCCCAAATTTACTGCTCACAGCTTATCAGGGTGAGCCGAGCTCATCGCGTAGATCTACGGTTTGGACCCTGAATGTAAAACCGTAGATCTACGGCACGGACCCTGAAAGGGTTAAATTTAGTAATTTATACAGGAGAAGGGGTTACTAGCCCCTTGTTCCCGGCATTTTAGTCGCCTCTTACAACACGCATGGCTTACGGAGGAAGAATTCCATTCCACTTCCCCATGGAGATAAGAGGAAATAAAAAAGAACAAGAACTGGAAAGAAAATAGAAGAACACCCAGAGAGGTGTGTATATATATGCTTATACATGTATGTGTAGTGCAACCTAAGTGTAAGTAGAAGTAGGTTGGTAGACAGCAACCACCCAGGGAAGTGCTACCGTCCTGCCAGATGACTGTGAAACAGAAACCTTTAACTGTTTTGCATGATGGTAGGATTGCTGGTGTCTTTCTGTCTCAAACACGCTAGATAACAAGGATATCTTGCTACTCCTACGTACACTTGGGTCACACTTCACAGACACGCACATGCATATATATATACATACATCTAGGTTTTTCTCCTTTTTCTAAATAGCTCTTGTTCTTCATTTCTTCTATTGTCCACGGGGAAGTGGAAAAGAATCTTTCCTCCGTAAACCATGCGTGTCATATGAGGCGACTAAAATGCCAGGAGCAATGGGCTAGTAACCCCTTCTCCTGTAGACATTTACTAAAATAGAGAAGAAAAACTTTATAAAACTGGGATGCTTGAATGTGCGTGGATGTAGTGCGGATGACAAGAAACAGACGATTGCTGATGTTATGAATAAAAAGAAGTTGGATGTCCTGGCTCTAAGCAAAACAAAGCTGAAGGGGGTAGGGGAGATTCAGTGGGGGGAAATAAATGGGATTAAATCTGGAGTATCTGAGAGAGTTAGAGCTAAGGAAGGGGTAGCAGTAATGTTGAAGGATCAATTATGGTAGGAGAAAAGAGAACATGAATGTGTAAATTCAAGGATTATGTGGATTAAAGTAACTTTGGATGCGAAAAGTGGGTCATAATAAGCGTGTATGCACCTGGAGAAGAGAGGAATGTAGAGGAGAGAGAGAGATTTTGGGAGATGTTAAGTGAATGTATAGGAACCTTTGAACCAAGTGAGAGAGTAATTGTGGTAGGGGACCTGAATGCTAAAGTAGGAGAAACTTTAAGAGAAGGTTTAGTTATAGGTAATACATATTTTAAGAAAAAGAGGATAAATAAGTATA